CTCTTCACCCTGTTCCTTCCGGTCACGGTCCTCAAGTCCCATCTGGACCACCCCAGAACGTCGTGACCATTCCCCCATCACCTCCAGTTTTTATTCCCTTCAAATCCTTCCTCTCACTGTGGCCAGAATGCGAAGCCTAACACCACAGTGGCTGAGCCATCCAATGGGAGGGTGCCAGGTATCCTTTTCCTTTATCTGCTTCTGCCACACTTCCCAGCATTCCTTGCGGTTTGGTTGGGTCATATTACTTAGTTCTAGGCAGGTGTTTATGAGAGGGCATGCGTGCCACCCCTAGGCCTCCCCCTACAACCTGCCACCGGTGCGCCTCTCTGCTCTTTTCCTTTTCTGACTTGGAGGGCAACCCCGGGGCACCTAGAATACGAGGACGATGGCAAAACCCTTGTTAGCCCTGGTTCCCAAGTGACTGTCTGCAGGGATGGGAGCACCATTCTCCATCATGAAGATTTGGTCCTGGATTCACCTTGAGTTGTTATATGAGAGAACAGCCAACTTTTGCTTCCATGGATCATTCATGACTCATTGGGTTCTATTTATTAGAATAGCCTAGCTTCTCAGGTATGTGGTGTGTTTTCCTGTGTGAGTATCTATGTGGGACTTTTAATTTCACTTGGAACTGGAGACATGTCTTCATATTTTGATTATTTCATTACTGATCCTCTGTCTAAGCATTTTATCACTTTTCACTCTTTCACATTCTTCCATATTCACACTGTATCCTTCCTAAGATTCAAGGAATCTTTAATTGTCAGCCCTTTAAGACTACTGTACTAAGGACCAGAATAGAAAAGTACATGCGCTTTCTACTCGATTGTCAAATCGTTATTTGCCTCATCGTAAGTTCCTCTCTTTGCTTTTGCATCTGCAGAGGCCACGCCCCATCCAGACTGCTATGACTGAAGGGAGAACATGCTTTCTGAGCCTGCCAGCTCTATGGAGAGGCCTTTTAAACCACGTGCTGTGAACCAGACTCGTTCTCATGGAAACCTGTGTGTGCCAGAGTAGAAACATGCTGCGCCACAAGGATTCCCATGACTGACTTGTTGGAATTAGACACCTCTGAGTGGATTCAAAAACTTCCAAACTTTGGTCAGCAGCCAAGCAGGCTAACTGGTTGCACCCCTGGGGACTCCAATACACCCTATAGGGATATCCAGCATTTTTAGGAGGACGTAAAAGCTTCTAAAGGAATGATTTTAAATAACATCTTCCCCTCAAATCTAAAGATTCATATTTTATTTCAAAATATTTAGGCTGAATCCACTGTGACTACATCATGAGAGGTATTTGTCCCTACAAACCCGAAGTATGCAGAATGCTCCCAAAGGCATTTAAAAAAAGCATTTCCTATGAACCAGGGATTTTTATCTTGCTTGAATCCACAAGCAATGTTCATAGAAGCAGCAGTCAAGAGATCAGAAGACGAGTTGCATTCTGTAAATATTCTCTGCTAGACCTCTTTAGAGTGTTGAGGAGCAAGGATGTTATTTGAGGATGAAGGTGTGCCTGATCCAAGCCCTGGCATTTTCACATGCATGTGAAAGTTGGATATTGAATAAGGAAGATGGAAGAAGAACGAATGTATTTGAACTATGGTGCTGGAGAAGAATATTGAAAGTACCATGGACCGCCAAAAGGACAAACATGCCAGTCTTGGAAGAAGTGCTTCTTGGAGGCAAGGATGGCATACCTTCATCTTACATACTTTGGGCATATTGTCAGGAGAGACAGTTCCTAGAGAAGGACATCATGCTTGGTAAAGTGGAGGGGCGGCAGAAGAGAGGAAGGTCATCAAGGAGACGGATTGACACAGTGGCTGTAACAGTGGGTTCATGCATGGGAATGGCAAGGATGTCACAGGACCATGCAGGGTTTCCTTCTGTTGTGCACAGGGTCGCTATGGGTTGGAACTGACTTGATGGCGCCTAACAACCACAACATGAAGCGCATGACATTCTCACCTCCCTATTCCAGCAACTCCACAAAAATGGTAGTTCTTTTATATATTGTAGGATCATATAAAAACAGAGGTAAATGCAGAGAGTAGTGATATTTCCTGGTTTGCATAGCAATGGATTTTTAGTCATGAGACCAGTATGAGTTCAAATTCAATCCCTGGTTCATGATGCCTGAGAGCATCAGATTTCAGTGAACCCCTTAACTTCTCTTAGCTTCAACCTCCTACCTCCTTATCTCTAAAACAGGGAAAAGATTTCCATTTTAGTAGGGCTGTGGTGTAGGGCTATGGTGAATACATGTAAATTAGCACAAAATATACTTCAAGATACACACACACACACACACACACACACTGCCATCAAGTAGATTCCAACTCACAGCAATCCTATAGGGCAACTGCTTCTTTGGTTTTCTGAGACTGTAAATATTTATAGGAGCAGACATCTCATCTTGCTCCTGTGGAGTGACTGGTGAATTTGAACCCCTGGTCTTGAGATTAGCAACTCAATGATTAGTCTGAAGTACCATCAGGACTCCTTTCTTCATGGTACATACGCTATGTATGCTCATTGTCAACAGCCTCCTCCTCAAGAACCCTTTAGCATTGATCAGAAAAGAAGGATAATGAAGGTGTGTGGGAACGTGAGACTATTCCTTCTCTTCTTTCCACAAATTGATTTGCTCTAAGCATGAAGATCAATTTTCCTCCCAAGCGTGGGTTCCTTATTTGTTATGGGAGATAAGATGACACTATGCTGAAAATAAAAGTAATGAATCACGTTTAAAATCAAATAAATATCAATACTAGTAAATACTAGTGAAATGCAAACTAGAATATTTGATGCATTAAAAGAGTTTTGGAGGTTTGCATTTACCTATTTTGCCTAGTTAGCAGTACAATCAATGCTGTGACCAATGATGCTGATCAACCCATATACCGAAGCCTTCCATGTGGTTAAGTTGTCCGTTGGGCTGAAATTCACTGGAGGGACAGCTAGTTAACATGGAAAAACTCAGAAATCTCAACTTATAGTTCATCATCCCACTGAAGAGTGTGTTTCCAGACACACATCATTAAACCTTTAAAAATCTTAATTTCTCTATTTATACACTGACACCCCCCCCAAAAAAAAAGAGACCTACCTACCTCCTAGGACTGTTAAAAGAAGAGACTACATACAAAAGTGGTTTGAAAATGAGAATGCGTTATACTTTAATGTGTTCTTCCTTTTATTTTAGCTCCAATTAATTCATTTACTGTAGCTAAGCAGATGAGTCATGAAATGCCCTAAAACTTCTGGCTAATTTGAAACAGGAACACTCTGACATCATCCCCTTCTACATTGTCAATATATTCTACCAAGTTCATACATTGCCCGTTCAATGTTCAAATAGGAGGGAGAGGATTTTTATGTTTCAAAGGACAAAATTAACTCTAGAAAGAGAAAAACATTTCTGATTTATGAATCAGAAAATGAGGATCAGTATTTAATCATTATGATTTTCTCTCTCTTTGACATTCTCTTAAAATAGCCAAATAATTTAAAAAATGTAAATACTTCAACAATCCAGTGAACCACCACCACCACCAAGACTCCTCCAAACAAAACAAAACACATAAAAACGCTTAAAACCCACTGCTTTGAAGTCCATTGTGATTCACATAGAATTCATTTAAAAAAGCATCTCATATTTTTATTCCATTTGTGATTTTTTTCAACCGGTCTAAACCATTATTAGATCTGTTTTGATAATGACTTTTTGATTGTCTTCCATCGTGGACATTAGGAATAATCTATGCTAGCTTTATTGTTCTCTATAGATCAAACAAAGGCAAGCAGAAAAAGGCTAAAATAGCATGTGGGCTGTGAATGGCTTCTCTTCAGATAAGCAGCCATCTAACACATCAGCTAAGTCCACATAGAAGCACACCAGCCTGTCTGATCCAAGGATTGTAAATAATAAAATCCAAATCCTGAGAGGAGAGTGGTATTAAAGCTTAAAATTTGAACCCCCAGTTTACAGAAGGTTATGTATGACAGTGGAAGCCCATAGTTTATTTGCAAGGTCCCCACATGGATTAAGCCTCTGGTGAATCTCCTGTGACCACAGTCCAGGGATATGAACAGCCTTGCCATCGGACAGAGAATATTGTAAAGTGGCTTACGGCAGATATAGTTACATTAAAATGTAATGTAATCCTTATCATTTAATCTCCCTTTTGACCCATTTTAAGTTGTTTCAGTTTTTAATACATTCTGCTTTCTTTTTGACTGGGGATCCATTTTTATTTTGCCAGTCTTTTGTATGCTTTTCTGTGTATGAAATCCAGGAGAGATAAATCTATAGAGACAGTAAGTGGATCGATAACTTCCTAGGGACATGGCAGGGGAGGTTGAGGGAAATGGGGAGCTAACCACAATGAGTACAAGAAAGGAAACAATGTTCTAACATTGATTATGGTGATGATTGCATAACTCTATTTATATGATTAAATTAGTGAATTGTATATGTGATTTGTATGCCAATAAAACTATTTTTTTTAAAGCTGAGTGGAGGCCTCTAGACTTAGTTTAATGTTGGTTCCACTCTATCTCACCACATTAGTTCTCCCCTGTAGATTTATTTATTTTTGCCATTTAAGGATTTGGGGAAGTACGAAAGAACAGCGAGGGCATGAACTTGATTATTCCAAGTGCTTTTTACATACTCACTCACTCACTCACTCACTCACTGCCGTCGAGTCAATGCTGGCTCATAGTGACCCTATAGGGCAGGGTACAACTGTCCCTGTGGGTTCCCAAACTGTAACTCTGTACGGGAGTAGAGAGTCTCATCTTTCTCTTGCTGAGCTGCTGAGAGCTTTGAACTGTTGACCCATGCAGTTAGCAGCCCAGTGTATAACCACTACGCATGCCATAGACTATATTTTATTACAAGTTCATATTGAAATTTGCAGAATGCAACCCTCCAAACTATTTCCCATGTAGAGTCAGGCCCAGGGTAAAAATACAAGTTCCTACCTCACTCCAGTTGCCCACGATCCAGTAGGCAGGGCGGCGGTCAGTGGTGAGCTGCTTGTGATTGGAGGCATTCAACAAAAAGCCCTCAGCAATCAGGCTCATTGCATCCTCCTCCGTCAGGACCGGCCCAGAAGTTTGCGTGAGATTCATATTGCTTGGCAGTTCTAGATGGTTATGGTTTACTGACTTTTCTGAGGGTGCTGGACTTTTTGTGACTATCTGCTGAACTCCAGGTGTGGCTTCCGTGAGAGGAGTGGGCCTTTGGCTGGGTGGCAAGCCTTCCATCACTGTGCTGATGGGTGACCACGAAGAGTCCTCCCTGAGATAAGGTGTTGGTGGCGGCCGGACGAGCAGCTTTGCACTTCTTACGACTGGAGGATCATTTCCAGGCACTCTGTCATCAGCCCATCTTCCAGGATTGCTTTCTTTGTTGTGCTCAGCTTGTTCACTACCCTCCCCCGAACCGCTCTGAATCTCCATTTCTGGATCTTTGGCCAAAGTCTTGTAGAATGGAGGCTCCTGCCAAGTGATGGGGTCACTGGAAGGGGAGAACTCCCGGCCACTTGCTGTTGTGGCTGACGGTTCTCCCTCCGAGGTAGAAACTGTGTGTGAATCGGAAACATTCTCTTCCCTTGACTGGGAACTCACAGGCCAGGCAGTGAGGGGGGGCTGAGAAGCACTTCCTGCTGGTCTGAGATGAGGGTCCAGCTCTGATTGGGTTGAACTCCTTTGCCACTCTTTCCCACCCAGGTCTCCTCGGGAGGCTGTGGTAGGCGTCAGGGTCTTGATTGTCACCGTGCTGCCACTTTCTGGCGGAGGCGCTGTGGGTGTGGCCAGTGTCCCGGGACTGGACATAGGTGGAGGGATGGGTTTTAAGGGGTCTTTCTCAGAGGGTGGTAGATTTTTCTCATTCGAGATTTCCCCTTTACTGGGTCTCAGAAATCGCCGACTTGAGGGGCATTGCCGGAGGCCACAGAGAGCTCGGCTGTTGGGTTTCTTGGTCACATCGCAAGGCTCATCGTTGTTCTTGGCACACTTCACACTGCGGATCCGCACTCCACCACCGCAGGAAACCGAACACTGGAAAAGAGAGGCAGCTGTTGGTCTCAGGGGAAAAGATGTGTGGTTCTCATGCCACATTTACAGTACACAAAGACTGGTCAGGTGGAAACGAAATTGTTCAGTTAAAATTGTTTCCTCTATCTCTAAAATTTGTGTCTGTGATCTTTGTGTTTTCTGCAGAAATTCACCTCCTGGATATTAATATGCATCTCCTAGAGATCTCTGGGGTCCAGGACCAATCACTCATTCTCCACAAATGGAAAATACACTAGCTGGTTTTGAGTGAATTCTGCCTGACGGCCAGCCTGTGTGTCAGAGCAGGACTCTCCTCCACACGTTTTTCAATAGCCAGTCTTTCAGAAGTAAACCACCAGCTCTTTCTTTCAAGGTACCTCTGCGTGGGCTTGAACCTCCAACTTTTCGGTTAATAGTTGAGTGTGCTAATCACTTGCATCACCTACCGACTACTACTCTGAAAGCACAGACCATGACCTTGTGAAACTGAAGAGCCTCTGGGCTTCTGATATTGGAGAGTGGGGCCTACAAAGCGTACAGTAATTTAGAAAAGTTATCAAATCTTTATGTGACGTCGCAGTGTTAGCTGTTTCCTAGCGTTGGCATGCCGTGAATGTACGATCCTTCCATCACCTCTAGACTCTCTTCTAGCAGTTATAATGTGCCTTCCTTTATAATTAGAAAAACCCAGACTAACCCACACTCTTCCCAGCACCACAAGGCCTGGGTCAGGTGGCATCAGATTAAAATAGAACCAGTGGTAAAGGTGGTCATAATAGAAAATTACTTACCTTTCCCTACCAGCTTTTTTTGTTTTCCACATGAACTGTTTCGAATAGTGAAATCAGACTCTACTGGACACATTTGAGGGCATTTAAAAAAAATTAAAACAATGAAAAGTTTTTTTAAAAAAGGATGAACCTGTGAAAAATAGATCTGCCATTATTCTCTCCATGTGTGGACCAAGTGAGTCACTTACATTGGTGTGAAATGGAAAAAGATGAATGTCTCCCTTTCAAGGCTGTTGTGAGAAGTAGCGACTACAGTCTTAATAAGGTACATTTGTCATAGAAGACAACTAATGATTGGACAGGTTTGTTATCACTGTGATAAAACAATAATAAGTAATAATAATGCTACAAGGCTTGGGGGATTCCTGGTTTTCCCTTTCCATGCAGAAGATCAGAGTAGCTCACAGAGTGACTTGCTACGAGAGTGGCGAGGTGAGGAGCGTCTGGGAGAAGCAGCTGGAGGGGTCAGTCTGGAAGATACTGATGGCGGTGACCCAAACAGCTCACGGGCATATTGCTGAGCGTTTTAGATCCGAATTTCCTATGGTGAACAGAGCTATGTGTTTTTTAATGTATACGTTTCAGATCTATATCAAAACAATGCTAGTAATTATTAAATAACCGTGTGAGTATACCTAGCCTCATATAATTATTAAATGATTATTTATATCATTTAATAATTTTATCATTGTTGTTATTATATATCTATTTGTGAGTTCACTTATCTGTCAGAACCCTCTCTGTGAGTATCTGTCAGAACCGTTGGTGGCATAGTGGTGACAAGTTGGGCTGTGTTCCACAAGGTCAGCAGTTCAAAACCAACAACTACTCCTAAAAGGAAAGAGGGGGCTTTCTACTCTCATAAAGAGTTACAGTCTCAGGAACCCACAGGGGAAATTCTACCCTGTCCTATGAGGTCACTCTGAGTCAGCATCAACTCGATGGCCGGGAGTTTGGTTCTGGGAAGGCAACTAACCTCAAGGAGTGCAGTAGGAGTACCTGAGAGAGAGTAACCCGGCAGGTTGTTTGCTGTCTAGGTGGCGTAGGTGGTGTGTGATCAGTTGCCAAGCTAAAGGTTGTAGTTCGAACCTATTCTGAAGGTCTCAGGAAGAAAGACCTAGCCAGTGGCTGCTGTAAAGATGGCAGCCAAAGGGGGGTGGGGTGGGGGTAGGGGTGGGGAGATGACAGCTACGAAAATCCCATGGGAATGTTCTATTTGGGAACACAGGGGGGCATCAGATTAGGATATTAATTGGGAAAAGCAGTTTCAAAAGGATAGCCCAAGGTTTAAACTAGGACCCCTAACACATGTTCTTTGGCTTCTTGAATCATAAAATAAGCCAACAATACAAACTTGAATCCGTGGGTGCTGTGGGTTGAACTGTATCCCCCACCAATGATATGTTGATGTTCTAACCATGGTCCCTGTGGGTGAGCTTAGCTGGAACAGGAGCAGGGCCTTTGCAGATGTAGTCAATTATCACAAGGGCATGCTGGAGTAAGGTGGGCTTGCAGCCATTTGGCTGATGTCCTTATAAAAAAGAGGAGACAAGGCAGAGACACAGATGTAGGAGGAAGACGGCCATGTGATGATAGAGGTAGAAACTGGAGCCAGGCTGCCATAAGCCAAGGAACTCCTGGGACAACCAGAAGCAGGAAGAGACAAAGAGGGATTCCTCCCTTCATGTCTTGAGCGAGAGCATGGTCCTGTCAACCTTGACTTTCAGCTTCTAGTATCCAGAACTCTGCAAGAACAAATTGCTACTGTTTTAACCCACCCAGTTGTGGTGTCTTATTGCCCACCGCCCACCCCCACTGTTGTTCAGTTGATTCCACATCGTAGAAACCCTGTGGAGCTGAGAAACTCTGCTTGGCAGTGTGTCTGAGGCTGTCATTCTTCATGGAAGCCTCCAGCCTCACCTTTTCCCCTTGGAACAGCTGGTGGGACCCAATGGCCGACCTTTCAGTAGGAAAACCAACGCTTACCTCACTGTGTCACGAGGACTCCTTTTTTTCCTTTTTTGTGACAGGAGGCCTATCTACGGAAGTAATACAGTGAGCAGCATCGAAACAGAAGCAGGTGTCACATTTCAATTCTACACCTGGAATCAACCGGACAACAGTGGAGCACCTAACTAAACACCACAACTGGATGGGTGAAAACAAAAGCAGGTGGTCTAGAATTCTGGACCGGATTCTGATGTGGGAATTCAAAACATTCGTCTGGGAATCATGGGGCAAGGCAGGTATCCATACCTTCTCCAGCCCTCTAACCTAACATCCATATCTGCTTGCTTACTGCAGCACCCAGCGGACTCCGGGTCTTTCGCAGAAGCTGTGTCTGCTATCCCTTGGGACGGCATCCTCCTGTGCTCAGTGGGGCCTTATTAACTAGCAACCAAGAACCAGGGGCCTAAAACTTAAGCTGCCTTTTTATTCAGTGTTCCACCAGGACACACTGTGACGCTTTGCATTCAGCCCCATGCTTCTTCCAGCACATCGCTCCACTGTGTTACTGTGTTTATCTCCTTAGGGGCTGTCAAGCCCTTCCGATGATATGAATGCAGCACACAGCACCACACTTCCCAGGCCATCTCCACTGCTGGCTTCAGAATTCTCAAAAACAATCTCTGCTGTGATTATCATCTGCCCATCGCTTCTAACGTGGAGCCCTAGGCCAGGCAAACAGCTTGTCAATCTGCTAATAGTCTCTCTGGGAGTTAGGCTCCTCTCACTTGCCACCACCCCTTAATGAAAGGCTTCTTGGGGGAGCCCACCAACATAGGGGTCCACTGCTAAATTTGCCAGCTCCACTCCCCTGAGCTGCACTGCTAGATGGAGACTCACGCTTGGCATCAAGGCTACAGTCCTGAGAGAAACATATGGAAAAACACAACTGGGCTTTCTCGGAGGGTTTAGTCTGAAATGATAGGTAGAGAAGCCTTAAAAACATGTCTCACGTGATAAAGAGAACTGACACGTGAGCTGTTACCTGCTTCAAACAAGGGCTCCTGTTTACTCTGGCATGATGGTGAATCACAGGCTGCCGAGCTGAGAAGAACTCATATTCAACAATTATAGACACCCCTTATTGAAAGAGCTGGACAGCTGGCGACAGAGTCCAGACAAAAGCATTGGCCTTCAGTAACTAAAGGGTTTGAACCCTTGGCCTTTCAGTTAGTTGTATCTAGTACTTAACCACTACTCTATCAGAGCTCCTTCCTTTCACAGTAGACATGGCCTTTATGCTCGCTGCAGTGCCTTCTGTCTGTAGAGCAAGGGGAAGCTTACTGGTGAGAATCAATGTCTGGTCTCTCCAGCCCCTCATGCATTCCAATCCTATGTGGCCCAGCATGGCACTCAATAAAAAATCCTCAGGATTCAGATAATCGATGGTTCTCTTCTTGTTTGATTGTTTTTGGCAGGCACAAGAAGGGCAGGTTAAATTCCCCCAGAGGCATGCCTGCCTTGGGAACCTTTGTCTCAGGTCATGCCAAATGCATTCACATGCCTCTCTAGTCCCAGGCGAGCGACAGTCCTTTTCTGAAATAAAAAAAACTATTTGAAAAATTTTGATTCTTTTGAAAGCGTTTGGTGGCAAGTTCTTATTTAATGTGTAAGTGGCTCTGATTTCTCAGGAATCAATATGCAGCCGCTGGGATTCTGGCAAAGTGAGAAAAGTCGACCTGCACGTGGTTTTCACACCCAATAAATGCTTAGAATCCCTACGACTTGTCCAATTCCTAAAACTTTCAGACATCCAAGACTATGTCTGTTCAGAGCAGAAGCTCTGTTGCTTGGATTCAAATCCTGGTTTGGGGCTTGGTGGCTGTGTGACCTTGGGCAAGTTTCTCAGGCACATTAACTTGCCTCAGTTTCCTCATCTTTAAGATGGGGCTATTGTAGGATTACATGTGATAATACCTATGGAGATGCTTAATCCACATAAAAATGCCCAGGAAGTACTTGCTCTGATTGTGTAATTAGATATTGGTTTATAAGATTATTATACCTTTTTTGTTTCTATAGAAGCAATGCATGAAGTCTTCCCCCTCCCCCGGCCTCCTCAAGGCTCAAGTACTCTTAAGATCCTTGAAAATGTGAAGATGCTAAACTCTGTGCTTACTGTCCTTTGGGGGATAAAATGGCCCTGAGCTCAGGGAGAGGATTAGAGGATAATGCAAGGGCCCGGATCAAGTCCTTCAGGATGTT